TGTGTGTGTGTGTGTGTGTGTGTGTGACTGTGTGTGTGTGATATGGTACAGCAAACACTGCACATGCGTTTTACCTTAACATAATGATATAGGCAGGTCTTCACCAGCGCTATTTGTGCAGCCTTATACGGGGTGCCCACTATGGACGGGATCGGCGGATCGGGCCGATCGCCCGACCCGGTTGCCTAAAAAACAAACGTGTTTTTTTCCCAGTTTCAGGCGACCGAGTTTGGCGATCGGGCGATAGACCTGATCCAGCCATAATGGTATTATATTATAAGAAAGATACTACCAAAATTAAATAATGAGGTATATCGCATAGTGAACTGTAGGTAATGGCAAAATCCTTTTTGTGCTAAATCAGAGGGAGGATGATGCAGAAAAATTACAATTTTCTTTTAGTGGGAACAAAAAAATAGAAGAGAGGGGAACAGAGGAAGACATTTGCGACAAAAAACGTCTGCAACATAAAAAATGCCTCCGCAAACATTCCACAGAATCCTTACAATGTTCGGCACAAAAATATTGTTTACAAGTCTATAAAAAAACACCAATGTTCACCTGAGGGGAGAGAGTAACAACAATACAGACACCTACATTGTCACAAATAAGTCGACTATAACAAGGAGAGAGCAAAAGACATTCCATAAAAAGAACGCGCTTTACTCCATACCCCAGACCAGAAAACTTCCGGATCTCAACTTCTGTGGCTTCCCTCGAGCAAGATCGGAAACTGCATTTTTTTATTTCGGACAGAGGAGAGCTACTCGATATACAGAAAAAACTAGGTTTTACTCAAGCATGAATGGACACCCAAGCTTCAGGTTGCATTCTCTGCCACGCTTTTTTCCCTACGCCGGTTTGTTACGACAAGGAAAGAAACACCACATTACTTTCTCGTGGAAGCTTCCTTTGTTCCTCATGTAGAAATGATAACGTTTAATCATTATGTTCTTGCTTTCGTGAAGTCATTTTCATTTTCCATTTAAAAATGACGTTTCAGGTAATTTACACCTATGTCTGCTGCAAACTTGATGGGAGCAAGTGCTCAAATGGTGTCTTCAGTAGGCCACTTTTCTTTTCTTTCCAGGTTTTGTTTCTTTTCATCTGTTTTACTCATTTCCTGGCACCTTAGACATAGCCCCCGGTCCGTACAGGGATGTACACTTTTTTCTTCTTCCTCTACTTATTACGACCTTCTCTTCCTCTCTTCTTCGTTTAATCTTTTCTCTCTCTCTCTCTCTCTCTCTCTCTCTCTCTCTCTCTCTCCCTCTCCCCCCCCTCTCTCTCTCTCTCTCTCTCTCTCTCTCTCTCTTTCTTCCCCTTCCTTTCTCTTATTCAATAAAAAAATACACTCTCGCTCTCTTACTCATTCTCCTTCTTTATGCATACTCTTGATCTTAAAGTAGGTAATTTCGAGCACCTAGTCTTTTTGGGTATGGGAAAAAAATCTCGAAGGTCCTGTGTACATGCTGCGCACGATAAAGATCCCTTGGTGGTTGAAAATCACATAGACGCAAGCAAAATTTAAAAACAATGCCCTACCATAAAAATATCGCTATTCCACCTGTTACATAATATTAATGAGACACACCCTTACACCTTCATTTATTCCTAACGCATAGATCTTAGGAACATAATAATATCGAGAAAGTCAAGATCTGAAGGGAGATTAATAGTATTTTGGCAATCTACTTCCTCTATGTCTACTGCCCTGGCAAAGTGGCATAATGCATACTGCTTAAACTAAAAATGATCTGTCAAAATACAAAAGACTATAGTACTTCTTTTGGAGAAAAAAATAAACCAAGTGGGATTAGCAGTAAATTTCCCGTTCTGTTGCGTTCGCCATGAGGTTCAGTCTTTTCGCGATCCCCCAAGTCACTTCTATCGTGTCCTTTTTTTTTCTTTTTTGGACTTGTTTCTTTTACTTTTTTTATTGACGTTTTTCTTTTACGAAGAAGATTTTCTGCCTCGCATCGCTTAAAGTATGCCTTTTGGAAATGTCTTAACTCAAAATGTTCGGGCCTTTCAAGACTCACTTTGAGATATTGAGAAGAAAATCGTTTCTCGTGAAGGGGATTCCCACTTTTTAAAATAGTATAAGTTATTCCGCGCTTCTGCACCCTTTCTCTGCCTCTCTTTTTTCAGAAACAGCTTGGATTTCTTTTCCTTTTTGTCTTTGCTGTTTTCCTTAACAACTTTGAATGACTCCCCGTCCCCGATAAACTAACTTAACCCACCGTTCCCAACACACATCGCTCTACCGTCTCTACTCTCTCAATTAATTCTCTCTCTCTCTCTCTCTCTCTCTCTCTCTCTCTCTCTCTCTCTCTCTTTTTCTTTCTCTCTCACACATACACACATACAACCGCCGCCCCAACACACAAACACTACACAAACACACACCTTCTCTCTCTCTCTCTCTCTCTCTCTCTCTCTCTCTCTTTCTCTCTCTTTATCTCTCTCTCTCTCTGTCTGTCTATCTGTATGTGTGTGTGTGTGTGTGTGTCTGTCTTTGTGTGTATGTGTGTGTGTATGTGTGTGTGTGTGTGTGTGTGTGTGTGTGTGTTCATGCGAGTTTGGCCATTTTTACATCCATGCTATCCCCTGCTACATAATGTTCCTATTATGTCAATATCCGTGACGAGGAGCCTGAGATAGGAAGCCCAAAGGTCTGCTTGAGTCTGCTTTTATTCCGTTAGAAGCAACAAATTCAATAAACTTAATAAATCATTTACAACTGCTTGCATTTAACTTGTGGGCGGAAATCCCATTTTCCACCGGCAATCAGTGACGCTACTTCGAGAGGGTGATAGGCTCTTTTACTCTTTCGTATCAGTGACACTGCTACGTGATGACGTGCCATTTGCTAATTCCCCATGTCTCTTGACTCCTGGGCCTTTGCGAGTTTTGCGTTACTTGCGCTGTGGCTGAGATGTGCTTAATCAAAGGCAGACGGAGTCTTCGTTCCGCTCTAGAATGTTTTTTTGGGGTTATTTTACTGTGGAGACAACAGTTTATAGTAGAAGGGATCAATGAACTAAAACAAAGCAGTCGGTTTTCTTTTGGTAGGTTATATTTAAAGTACTTTTCAACTTTTGAGGTGTCTAGAGTACTGTACAAGGAGCTGGATGTTCTGATTAGATTCTGTCACATCGTATTGTTAATCGTGTGTGCTCTTTATACCTATTTTGGATGGATTTGCCTAAACTAGTTGTAGTTACCGAAAATTAGCTACTGGATGCCTCGATTCAGACAAGGGTGTGAAATATCACGTAATTTCGGTATACCGTCTGCGCTACCTCTCCGTCGCTCA